AAATCTCTGAGGAATGAGCTAAGGGGGGCTATTTTCTGTATTTGGGTCAATGTAAAATTCAAAAATCACAAGAATACTACATATATATACTAAAAAAATCCCAAGGGGAGCGACTGCCCCCCGTGCCCCCCTTAAATCCATTACTGTTTCCAATACAAATATTTTACTTCCTCAGTCCCAATTTGTAAGATACATTTACTATTCACTTAGTCAACATAATTCACTCTTAATCTTTTAATTAATATATCAAAAGTTTATGAAATTTGAATTAATTTTTGCAGCCTTTGTAGCGGTTTTAATGTAGTTTCTGAATATGTAAATTTCATTTTCTAAAACTAATTTGAGTGTTGACAGGGATCAATTTGCTTTATCGTCAGTCAAACATCGTAAACCATAAAGTATCTTACAATTTGGGACGGATGGAGTAGTATTTAACTTGTTCCACTCCGAGACTAAAGCAGTTAAATTGGATTAGATTTATACATAAAAAATCAAATAAACAAGACCAGACATATCGAACTTAAATATACTACAAAGTATATTATACAAAGTATTATATTACATCACAATAGACTTAGGATGCTTTTACTTGGATTGTAATTTGCTGGTTTAATTTGATCTGATCTGGTCTGGTTTGGTTTGGTTTGGTAATGTTTGATATCTTTGTATTTTTATAATTATCCAAGTCTGGTCTAGTCTGGTTTGGTCTGGTCTGGGACGTTAAAAACATCCTTAGGCAATACTAAAACATACATTTGATCATTATCAGATTAGATTTAAACATAACAAACTTAAACAAACAGAAACTTATAATCTAAATGAAAGCATATCAAATACCAAATCATATCAATATTAGTAACAATATATAGAAAAAGTAATTAATGCAAAAACCAAAGGGAGAAGTTTATATCCACCAACAAGACAATGACAAGAAAACATGTGAAGGTACGTGAGAGACTTCACATAATGACAAAATTTGATCAAGTAAGACCACTATAGGTTAAAAATCAAGTACTCAACAATTCCATTTAAAAAAGATAAAATAAAATAAAATAGGAAAAAATCACACTAATAATCCAACCTATTGCCCGTCTTCTATTAATAATCCGTCGTACATATTATTCTGTAATAATACCAACTAAGCTGTTAATCTTCCACCTTCACTCTGATGGCACTGGCAACCGGCTAACCCAGTAACAAATTTTTATAATCTGCCTAAGCTGAGAGCGCCACCCAAACAACAACGACCTCATATCCTCATCCTCCTTGAACAAGACCAACTGTACGCAACCTCCATCCCATAAGCTGAGAGTGCCACCCTCGCCGAATTGAAAGTCTTCCCAGTCCATCAAATATACCGCTGCACACGTTCAACCATGGTAAGTTTATTGAATTCCGAGTACTGTTGTGGTTAGTGTTCAAGTATTATTCTTCAGGGACGAAAAATAGGGTTCTTTGGGTTTACATGATTTATTTGAGCTTTATTTGTAAATTGATTTTGTTTCTTAGGGGTTTTAATGTATGATATTAATCCTTCACATAGGTTACAGAGGATACCCGTGTTAGGCTGCGCATATGGCATGGGGGAATGTTTAAGAATAACACCATGGGAAAACTAGAATATGTGGGAGGTGAAGCTAGGACATTTGATATAGATTCAGATGAACTTTGTTGGTTTTGGTTAGAAGAATTGACTAAAAAGTGTGGGGATTACCCTACAATTGATGCCATTTACTACTTGGTTCCCAATCATAGCTATGAAGAGGGTTTAAAAAGGGCTTATCATGATGAACAAGTGAGGGAGTTGATAGCACCAGCGTTAAAGAACAGATGCATAGACTGTTATGTCATTCATGACATTGACGTTCCAGATTTAATTGAAGCAATTGAATATGAGGGACAAAGTGGATTTGCAGAAATGAAATCCTCAAGTAGGAAGAAGAAATTGACTCCAAGGGGGGAAGTAAGCTCAAAGCAGTAACAGATGAGATATCCTCTACATTTCAAGCTGAAGTTTCACCAAAAATATGTACTACCAATGGAGAGGACATATGTACTACTGAACCCTTCACATCATATTCAAGGGCATTTGAAAGTGATACACTACATACTCCTTTCACATGGGATGAAGAATCAAACTCCTCTGACCCTGAAAACAGTCCACCAAATGAAGAGGAACTAGTACATGATGCAGCCACTCATTTGGAAGCTGCTGATATATCACAAGGTGAAGAGGGGGAGAACATGAAGGATGGATGGGTTGGATCAGATGAAGGTACCAGTGATGAAGAGTATCAAAGGGTTAGAGAAAATGTGAAGGGGTGGAATGTAAAGATAGTTGAGATTGCAAGTCAACTTCAAAAAGAAGCTGCAGAGGGTAAGCTTCCTGGGCAAAGTCAGAGAAAAGGTAAGAATAAAGTTCTGGAAGATGAAGAGATAGAGGAAGATTCTAGAATTGTTAGTGAGTATGAAGACACAGATGAGGAGGTTTTAACACCAGAGGAAGATGAAGAGCAATCAACATTGAAGAAAAGGAGGAGGAAAAGGATTCCTGTGGTGGATGAAAACACACACTACAAGATACTGGGGTGGAAAGTGGGAACTAGGTTTGAAAGTAGGCAAAAATTCAGAGATGCAGTGGTCAGGTTGGAGATCCACAGATAATTGTTTAGATTTTTTTCCCTGGAATTTTATGATATGACATTGTTTGATTTTTTTGTAGGCTCCTGGTCAGGTTGGAGGTCCACAGATAATTTCAGGGGCTGCCTGTCCTCCTTCAAGCAATGCCACAGCATAAATAGGCTTTTCATGTTTGGGCTGGAGTTTTTGATGTAGTATCTGGGATGATGCAATTTGGATGATGTGTTATTTTGTTGTTGTATTTGGATGATCTATGTATTCTGGATTATTATGTACTTCACATCAGTCACATGATGTATTTGGATGGTTATGTACTTCATTGCAGTTAGATGATCTATTTTGGATGATATTGATTTTGATTACTTTAGTTCAATTTCGGTTAGTTAATGTTTATTTCATGATTTTAGTTCAATTTCAGTTAGATGGATGTGTGATATATGTATATCATTTCACTTAGATGGATGTATATCTTGATGATTTAGCTTAAGTTGCTTTCTTAAGATGTTAAGGTTTAAGACGTTTGCCTATTTCAAAGATAGATATTCCTTTTTTTGTTGCATGCTTTATCACGCACTTCGAGTAAAAACTGCACCCTTTCGATCTCATAGTGCATATCTGTTACTCCCTCCGTCCCTGATACAACTTGACGTTTGCTTTTGACACGTTATTTTAGGAGCTCAATTAATAGAAGAACAAATGTCTTGCATGTCCTTTGACTTTTGGGAGATTAATGATATCCACTCACTTGGGGTACACACTTTGTATACACACTCTTACACACTCATGTTTGTGAGGCGTTTTTTTATGTCTGTCCCAGACAAAACATATTTGTCAAATACGTTTTGTCTGGGACAGACATAAAAAAAACCTTCACAGACATGAGTGTGTAAGAGTGTGTACCAATAGTGTGTACCAATAGATTTTTTCAATGTAAAAAGTGGTTGAGTATTGAAGGGTGGTTAGGACATTTAATATAAAAGGAGTTGCCTAAAAGGAAACGTAAAGGAGTAAATGAGACCTCGCAATAAGAAAAATGTAAAGATTTAAATGAGACGGAGGGAGTATTTTTTTTACAGGTCAATTTCTATTTATAATTTTTTCACTTTCACAAAACACAACTTTAAAGATGATTCACTTAGATTGGTTTTAGTCTTATAAATTAAAACTAGTACTGCACTCGTGTGTTGCACGGTGTGTGAGTTTGTGGATGGATAAAATCACCGTCTTCAATAAAATTTAATTGGTTATAAAGTTAAATATCATGCATTGCACAAAAAAAAAACAAAAAAGTGTAATATGTAAGTTTGTTGTAATATGTAAAGTGATTATGATACAGTGTTAAACATTACAAATTATGGAACAATTCTTTGTAGATAACATTAATCGTCTCATCATTTGGGCAACCATCTTCGTTTAGAATGAGGATTTTGAGACCTGTCGATTGGTAACTCTTGACACGACAACATATAATTGTTCATGGCTGAGAACAGTTTTGTTCAATAGGAGACCAACGTGAGTGAGCTATTAACCTTGACTTTCATTGATGTTCATTGCATAAGAAACCATAATAGGGAATTGTCTCCTTTGAAATCTAAATGGTAGTCTAACATAAGACGGGGTCAAAGACAGTCACGGTATTAATACTTTTTGTCCTACGCTCGTATGATTCATAACCCTATCCTCTAAGATGTGATCACACATCTTTTTTATGAAAAGTCTTAACACGTTACACAAACCCTGTGCGTGATTTATATTACGGAGAAGCATGGTTGGAGTGCACTCTTTCAAAGTCAACTTGTAATTTGGCACTCCGGAGAGTTTAATACTGTTCAAGAATTCTGGAGTGTGTAACTCTGCTATAAGATCATGGGTTGAATCAAATTTGCAAACACTGTCCAAACTAAGGTATGTGTTGGAAACTTCCTTGAAATTTAAACCTATCATATAGTCATTGACCGAATCAACGAGCTCAAGGGTTGGAGCAAGAATTGCTCTATCTCTCAAGTAATTCAAATCAGTACTTGATTTTAGATAACCAGGATAAATGATCTTGACTATCTTAGCAATGGGATCTCCAGAGTACTTGATAAGGGTGTCATCAAGAATTTGAATAGCGCACTTTGTCCCCACTCGTGCGCGCCTTGTGAAACTTCCCAGGGGGTCACCCATCCCAAGACTACTCCCGTGTAAGCACGCTTAACTTTGGAATTCTTAGCTGATGAGCTCTCTTAAAAGGATATGCGCCTTGTTAGTATGAGTAGTACTATTAATCCGTTTAAATTAAATCTCAAGTATTACAAATATCATCACCTATGTTTGCAACCCAATCAACAAAAAGCTTCAAGTCATACGATTCTGTAGGGCTATTGACACTTTGCAGCCTCATGTTCTTAGTTGACCTAAGAAGAGTGCATCCCCACATAGATAAGATGAATTATATTCATCGTAGCATTAACAACGTCTCGTCCCAACACTATTGTCTTACCACCAAATGACAAGTTTAGACTATTTAGGTTGGTGAATCTAAGAACGTCACAAATACTTTTATCCAATGCCTCAAAACAGTACTTGTGTATCATTGAAGCTTCATACCAAATTATCAATTTACAATTAGTAATTAGGATGGCGAGCGGACTACCATGCTTTATGTTGCAAATTGAATCTTCATTCAAACTTATTGACGCGAGTGTGCAGTTCCCCCTCCAGGAAGAAGTAGAGAAGCAGAAGAAGTAGAGAAGCAATGCCACTGGATGCCACATATAATACTATGTCCCCTTTAGACCTCAATGCGGCTGATAGTGTTCTCCATACAAACTTCTTCCCAGTTTCACCATATCCATAACCAAAATACTTCCCTCCACATTCTGTTTGAACGGAATTCATGATCTTTTCATATACAATATATTGTCCACTTGTCAAACCTTCAACCAATGTCTTGTGTTCTTTATGCATCTCTTGACGATCATAGAGGAACTCTTCTATGACCGGAGGATAATCAGGTAGACTTTTCCCTCTTCGTTGCAACAACAGTTCTACCTCTATTAATGCCGCCATTTGCAATAGCTCATTGTCCATTACAAATCTTTCATTACATGGAATGTCGTTTCAACTACTATTCAAAATCAATGCACGAAATAAAAACAATACAAAACAATTGGTTAATGTGTTAATTAGTCAAACAAAAAAGGAGTTTGCCATATACCTGGATGTTGATACATCTTACATAGTTTGTATTGAATATCTTTTGCCATGTATATCCAACATTTCTCCCAAACAAATTACGGACGACTCATGGATTCAGACCACAACAATATCACAAACAATATCCTTAGTGCAAATGTTATCGCGAAATCACTTGCCTCAGTAAAACCATCAACAAATTCTTTATCATCGTCCAGAAGCCCCAATGCATAGCACGCTTCGTGATATGAATTATACAACACGCCATCTATGGTCCTCAAATCTTCATGACCCGTCACTCCTCAAATATGGTTTAATAAACATTTCATATGATATGATTCCCCACATCCGGGTGGAACATAGTATATTTGACCAATGAAGAATACTTTCTTTCTTGGCATCCATTCCCTTGAAGCACTTTTCCATACAAATTTCTGAGGGAATTCAGCATATGTCATCTGTTTGCCATACTATTCTTAGCACTCCTCCCCCTACTACATAATCAAGGGTATCATAGTTTGAGAAGATCACCGTTTGCTCTCCTTTCATGTGAAAGCTAAGACGTTAGACGAGTGGATTTTTATATTCAATCTCAAATCCAAGTATACGCCATGCAGCCTCACACATAGATATCTAGTATAGCACCTGTGCGATGCAAGGTGCGTTAGTATTTTAAAAAAGTATATTTGAGTGTTTGTTATAAGCAATTTAAGATAATTTATTTGTCAATAATTAAAGAAATATTAGTAAGAGTCTAATATTGACCTTGAATTTTCTTGATGGTCATTGCATAAGAAATCATTATTGGAGAGATTTTGTAAGTTTCGCACCTTCACATGTCATACTTCATTTTTTTGAAAGTAACAAAGGAGAGATTTTGTATTAAAACACTTTGTCTCACACTCATACCACTAAGTACTTTGCCTTTGAATATGTGATAAATAATGACGGTTTTGATATAATGATTATCATTCCGTCGTAAAAAGTTAAAAAGAAATTTAGATGAACATACCATGTATCTACTTTCAACTGAAGAGTTGACCACTAAAGACACAAAAAGATGAAATTTTTTTAGATGAATTATTTTTGTAAAACATGTTGATCACTTCAACAAAAAACACTTTTATAGACATGTTATATATGGAATCTAATACGAAGTAGTAAAAACAACCATATATCATTTTCTATTTGCACTTTTTTACATTTAAAACTATATATATTTAAAGTAAAAAATAGGCTCAATCTTATACGTAGTATATTTTTTTCCGAACTTTTAATTTTGTTTCTACATATATCACGCTTGGCCTAGATCTAATATATACGTAGTAGTAATTATCAACATAAATCTAAACGCCTTTTCACACTTACTCTTCACCTATTCCTACCTAGATTTCGAAGGCTTGTGGCTTGACCTTGATGCCTTGTCACACCTCATATCTTTTAGATAACCAAGTATATGTCGACAAACGCCTATCATAATGTACTTCTTCCATGAAAGAGTAAATTGAGTCATATAATCATTCCTAATGTACATTACCCCAATGTCCTTGATTAAAACTTAATTACCCAAAAGTTTTGAATGCGTACAATGAAATTTACCCACACATTTCTCTATCAATAAGACACTACGGAGCAATAAGCATGCATTGAATGATGCTACAATTTTTTCGTACAACTCAAAGTGTACTCTCAAAATTAGTAATAAGACTCGCACTTTCATTTATAAACAATGTGTTTTATTAGATTGATAAATATTTTATGCTTTGCCTATCAGGAACAGTTCTAACGAATACTTAAGATTGAAAATTTGGCTATTAGAATTCTAAATATGAAAACAACTTTAATTAGAGATACTCCGTAAGCTTTGAAGATTAGACCTAGTGCTGGCGATATGACGGAGCCGCCTTCATCGCAGCCGCCTGATGGCGGAGGAGGGGTTTGGGGGAGGAAATCGTTCGCAGGTGTGGTTGCTGACAGATCGGTGATGATGCCGGAGAAGACCAGATTTAAGGGAATGCCAGCAATCAATTTTTCTGAAGGGGATATTCGAAAATTGGCTGATAAGCACAAAAGGGCGTTGGTTGGTTACTTCTACAAAGGTAAGCCTAGTTTAACAATCATTCGGAAAGCGTTTGAAATTATTAGATTCAAGGGATCCTTTCACTTGGGTGCTCTTGATCCAAAACACATTTTGATTCGATTTGATTTGGAAGAGGATTATTTGAGATGCTGGAATAGATAGTCTTGGGTGGTTCAAGGTCATATTATGAGGGTTACTAAATGGACTCCGGAATTTCGACCCAATGTCGAATCTCCGGTGGTCCCGGTGTGGATTGGATTGGAGGGTTTGCCGATCCATCTGCAGGATAAAACTGCCCTGTTTGAGATTGCTAGTCTTGTTGGAAAGCCATTAAAGATGGATGCAGCTACAACTAATTTATCCAGGCCAGCTATGGCCAGAATATGTGTTGAATTGGATCTTACAAAAGACATGCCATCTAAAATTTGGATCAATTGCGGGAGTTATGGATTTTCCCAGCCTATTACCTATGAGAATAGGCCTGAATACTGCCTAGCGTGTCTTCACTTAGGTCATTCTCAGGGGAAATGCCCTAAGAAGACTTATGAACACAAGATATCTGACAAAGAAAACATACAGATTACAAACAAATGGATTCAGAAAAAGGAGACTATAAAAACACATAAATTTGCACGCGCAGAGAAAGGGAAGGATAAAGTAATTGAAGAGCCTCAAATGAACAATCAGTCCTCATCTAATATTGGGCTTCATATCATGTCTGAAGAGGAGAATGCAATGGAGGTGCCTCATCCAGATCCCATCACTCTGCTTGCGGAGGAAGATAGACAACAAATTAAGGCGATAATGGATGCAGAAATTCCAGGATTAATTATCTCTGATCCTTTGGAGATTAAGGGTATTCAAGATGATACTTACACCTCTAAACTGATCAACAGTTTTAATGCCAACACAATGATGCCAAGAGACTGCTACTCAGAAGGAGAAGAAGATCAGTTTGTGGATGATCAAGGAGGCTCTGAAGATCTCATGGATGGATGGCCTCAAATCTGTAAAGGCATTGAAGTGGTGGTTAGTCAAAAAGCCAGTGAAAGGAACAATATTACTGAGCCTGCATATCAACAAAATCCAGTACCAGATCATCAGCAGGTGGGTCAGAAGGATGGCCTTGTTGATAATTGTTCAGAGGAAGCTCATGATGATTTCACTCTGGTTACAAGAAAAGCTAATAAAAGAAATACAGTTACAGACAATCAGCAAAGAAGAAATACTAGGAGTGCATCTAGGGGTGCTAGGAATTCTTCTGTTTCCCAATGAATTGCATTATTTGGAACACTAGGGGTCTAGAATCCTCCAGTTCTAGACTTTATTCCCTAGTTAATCAATGGAGGGTGAATTTACTTTTGATTATTGAACCTATTGTTTCTTCTAACAAGATTGATATCTATAAGCAATTGTTGGGGTTTGATTCTGCATCCTGCTCTGAGGTCAACAAGATTTGGTTATTTTGGGATTCCTCTGTAATGAATATTTCTAATCTACAGTGGCATGGTCAATATGCTCATATCAGGGTTCAAAGTGACTACTATAAGGGCTGGATTACTGGTATCTATGGAAAACATTCATATATTACCAGAAGAGAATTGTGGGATGGTCTGATTAATATTTCTACAGGGATTACAGAGCCTTGGATGATTGGGGGAGACTTTAATGCTATAGCCAGCTATAGTGAACACAGAGGGATTGATTTACCTCTTATTCAGGGCATGAATGAATTCACAGACTACATAACTGCATGCAAGCTGAATGATTTACCTTATTCTGGACTAAAATACACCTGGACTGGAAATAGGTCAAATGGAAGAGTTTGGAGAAGGTTAGACAGGGTACTATTTAATACAGAATTCTTGGATGCATTTGATAATATTAAAGTTTCTGTATTAAATAAAACTCCTTCAGATCATAGTCCTCTTATCATTCGGTGTGATTCTGTGGGTTTTAATGGTCCTAAGAGCTTTAAATTCCATAATATGTGGTTTAGTAATAGTTCTTTTATGGAACTTGTGAGGTCCGGCTGGGAATGTTTTGAATATCAGGGGGGCATGAGAGGGTTGTTTTCTAAACTCCAAAATCTCAAGATTGTATTGAGAAAATGGAATAAAGAAACTTTTGGTAATATCTTTGATTCTGCAAAAGAATGTGAGAAGGAGGTTCTGGAGGCTGAGATAGCTTTTGAAAAAAATCCTTGTGATTTAACAAAAGAGGACTGGTTCTACAAAAGAGGCTTATTGATCCAAAAGCTTAAAGTGGAAAAGAAGTTTTGGAAACAAAAAGCACATATCAATTGGATAAAGGAAGGGGATAGTAATTCTAAGTTCTTTCATTCCTTTGTTAAAATCAGAAGAGAAAACAATGCATTACCTCTATAAAAAATTTGGTTGGTCAAGAGGTCACTTCTCTGCCCTCTATTGGGGATGCTGAAGTAGAGTTCTTCTCTGGTCTTTATACTGGTGAACAGTATGAGAGAAATGAAATCTTATATTACATTCCTAATATTATATCTCAGGAGGATAATAATAAACTTATTGCAATGCCTGATATGGATGAGGTTAAGCAAGCTGTCTGGGATGTTAATCAGAATGGAGCTCCAGGACCGGATGGATACCATGGGAATTTTTATAAGAAATGTTGGCATATTGTGGGTATGGATGTGTTCAGGGCAGTTCAAGAGTTCTTCTTGGGGCATCCAATTCCTAAAGGGATGGCCAGTGCTTTGCTAATTCTTATTCCCAAGTCTGACATGTCCTCTAATTTTGGTGACTTTAGACCTATTTGTTTGTCTAATTTCATCAATAAGGTGTGCACCAAAGTGTTGGCTTCTAGATTAAAAGACATTCTTCCTAAAATTATCTCTCAGGAACAGGCAGGGTTTATGGCTAATAGAGATTCAGCTGATCAGGTTCTAATTGCTCAGGAAATGGTTCACTGTATTGACAGGAAGATCAGGGGTGGTAATTTGATTGTTAAGCTCGACATGGCAAAAGCATTTGATAGAGTTTCTTGGGATTTTTTGTCAGATATTCTTTTGAAATTTGGATTTTCTCAGCATTTTGTTCTCTTGGTTATGAACAATCTGAAGGCCACATTTATATCTATTATTATTAATGGCTCTCCACAAGGTTTCTTTAAGCCTTCTAGGGGAGTTAAGCAGGGTGATCCCTTATCCCCCTTCCTGTTTATAATTGCTTCA